AGACCCAAAAATGCAGTGCACTTAAGTACAGAGTACATGTGGTTAGCTCCTGTTGGTACCTTACAAGGTTGACGGGAGAATGTGGAGGACTGGGAAGATGTTTTCAGGTCCTTGAAGATTATTTGTTCTTAAAAAGTCACCCCATGCTGCATTGCAGGACATGTGATAAATGCTGCAAATGTGAGACTGAAGCCCTGAGCTTTTAATAATGTTCTAGTTCTGATACGCTTCTGTTGTCAGTTGTTACATGTCTTTAATCTGGATGAGGCCTGAATTTAAACACTAATAGACAACCATTTTGTAAAGCTGTGGGTTTTTTTCTTTTTTCCCCTCTCCCAACAGCTCTGAAGGAGTTTTATTTATGACAGTGTATACATAAATGAGAAAGCAAACCAGAGGGCTGGTTGTACTCTGACTTCTGAGACGCAATTCTTTTAAGAATGAGTTTGAGCGTACGCATTATTACTGTGTAGGGTAGTAATTGTCAGAGACTTTTATCTGAAAGCACATATTCAGTTTTCATCTAGACTTTCAAATTTTTGAGCAAAATCAAAGGATGATGTACTGAATACCTTTCCATAGCTTCCAACAACAATACCTCTGGGCTGTGATCCAAGAATTTTTCAAACTAAAATTCCATCTACTCCCTTAACCTCTCTTTTTCTAGCTTCCTCCCCAGTCAATAAGCTCTACCTCTCCTGCTTCCCTTTCTCCTTGGCCCAGGCAACATCAGGCTGATGTAGCTATATTGCATTTGTTTTAGGAAAACATGCCTGTCTTCAGCACTGTGTTGTGTCCTTTTCCTCTTCTCGAGCTTGGAATATGCTGTCTTGTTGGAGAAGGTGAGAGTGGTTTTTGTACTGTCATTTAGGACAAATGAAATTTCTTAGTATCCTTACATCACAAAGTTGAGGTTTTGTTTTAGATTTAATGTGAATTATGAACTTAAACTGTGTGTAGGCATTTTCCTTCTACATATAGTGCTTATTTTCAAAATATTTTTTCAGTGGGCCAACAATTCTTCATGTTGTGTGTGCATTATTAACCAAGCACATTTGAATCCTGGATTTTTTTTTTAGTTCATAAAATGTTTTATTGAACTTAAAATCCACTAATATATTCTTTGACAAGGTCCAAACTTACAGGATGTTTTCAGAAGATTTTAATGTCATCTTTCATTTGTTTAGTGTAAAGCTCTCTTGTGTTTTCTACTTTCTTCTGTCACTTGTAGAGCAAGACAAAGCAACCAGAGTCCTAGCCAGTTTAATGTCATTTATTATAGTGTTTTTACATAGATAGAACATTGCAAAGGCAGGAATAAACAGAGGACAGGCAGCTTTTCACTTGCTATTAATCTTTATTTCCTTATTCTGGGGAAAAAGTGAGATCTAAGATTCAAGACATTTTCTTTTTAACTGATCATCTGAAGTTGTGCATAAATCTGTCAGAGAAAAAAAGAGAAATTGCTAGGCTCTGTTTTGCAAACTGCTCCTTTATTTCACAATTCTTTGGTCACTTTGGAGGTATTAGCTGGTTTATCCTGCCAAGAAGAATTGATATCACTGATAATAATTATATCCCCTAAATAATGAAAGGCAATTATTCATCAGTCCTTGCTAAAACAAAATCTGGGACTTTCAAATGAATGTTATTCCTCATAAATGTTCTGAAGTCGTAGCCTGAGCATAAGAATTTCCACTATAGGGGAAGTCTGAATAGACTTTCTTTCCCTCACAGTATTGAAAGGTATGACATTTCATCCTAAACTGAATAAAACTTAACAGTTAGTGAATTAATACAGTAACTCATATAAGTAACTCTGGGAAGGGAGGCACGATATTAAAAAGCCACCCTCCTCCACCCCTGAAAAAGAACTTCCCCAAAACAAGCCCACCCCTGGGCCCAAGACCCTCAGAATATTCTGGTCACTATTCATGTCATCTGGAAGTACAGGACCATGACTGGCACCCCTCTAGTCTCTCTATCTAGTGTAACATTATGAACTTTCTAATGTGACAAATATCCCAGAAACCTGGGAAAGTTTGTGTATTCTACTAGACAAACATGCTAGCTTCCTTAACATAGACTGTTCTTTGTATTTGTGCATTTTGGTGTTACATTCGTTATAGTGGTGTGTGATGCTCAGGGATAGGATCATAGAGGACTGACATAAATTAGAATATGTGAGGTTTTGACTAATTTAAAAAAAAAAAAAAGTTGTTTTTTTTTAACATGAGGTTGATCAAATATTGGAACAGAGGCCCAGAGGAGTTCTGAAATCTCCGTCCTTGAAGATATTCAAAACTTGACAAGTTCCTGTGCAGCCCTTTTGAATTGGACTTGCTTTTCTTAGGCGGTTGGACTACACGACCTCCTAAGATCCTTTCCAACATATGTCATTGTATGTTACTAGAAAACTCTCTTCATCTGTCTGTCTGACCAAGATATGCAAAAAATGTATGCCACAGCATCTCCTGGGGCTCTGGATATCTGATCATCCAGTAAAAGAGTCCTTGATGCACTACACCACTTCTCCCACTTATGAGACCAGTGAAGTAAGAAAAGCAATAGAGAAAATTTGCACGACAAGTCTTTATCCCAGCATATAGTTAAAAGGCAGCTGGGGTACCCGGAAATTGAAAATATTTCCGACACCAGGAGACTAAGCACATTTTTTTGTTAGCCAAAATTACTGCTTTGTAGGGTAGTCATCCATTCTGTAAACATGGACAAGGTGGTACATTGCTAGCCTAATTTCATACGTAGTGTTTCTTACTGCCTAGTAAAGCATATACTACTTTGTTAACAATGACCTGTTTTCTGCCCTGTGTTGCTCGGCTTACTGATGCCACTTTGAATTAACAATGCAGATAAGAAGTTACTGTGAACAATTAGATCCTTCAAAGCAAATCTTCAGGTTTTTTCTCATTTTGAAAAGACAAAGTCTTAAAGCACAAGGCAAAATCTAAGCTTGGAGAATTTCCTATGTTGTGGAAAAAATGGCAGGATAAGTAGCAACGAAGGTATAGTTGGAGTGATGATGCTGAGACCATATAGCAGCACTTAGTGTGGCTGGCAGGGCAGCTTGGAACTAGCCGATGTGTTCTGTAGTTTTGACGGGATTTTTGTGCATATGTGAACACGCAAATATTGCAGAAGGTTTCAGGACACTGCTGGCATTAGATTCTGGAGTACCAGGAAAACTCATGTTCATGTTCTCATGTATGGGCTCCTGCACCTTTATATTTGTTGTGCTTCTCTAGGTAGGCCTTTCTTCTGAACTGGCAAGAGGCAGTGGCAGCAGTAGATAACAGGCTTAGGCATATTTATTCCTGTGTAATACCTACTTTTGATGCATAGCAAGGCCAGGCACCATTCTTACTCACCCATATTGTAGCTCTGCCCATAGGTATTTGCTGTATTTATTGAAGTCATGTCAAGTTACAAGTTCTCATGTTTAAAAATTCTGTCAAAAACAATGTTCTGGCTTGGTTTATTTTGGGGCACTACTGTTTAATAAATACTTGCTCTGTGTGCATTTTTTTTGTTTGTTCCTCCTCACTCCCAATTAATACTAGACTAAAATGATTCTTTGCCTGCTCCCCCTTATCATGTGTTTGTTTTTTACCTCTTGGACCTCATTTCAAACATAAAAATGTGTTGTCCAAAGTAGCTGCATTAATCAGCTCTGTATGGTAGAAAGAGTTCCTGTCTTGGTGATGGCAGATTAATATGTGTTTACAGTTTTAAGAAACTGGTATTCATTAGGTTTTTGGAGAGAAATGCCAGCTTTCTCATTACTTTCAGGTTATATACTTGAATAACTGTGGTAGTTTAAGGTCCAGTTTTATGTACTTAAAAACAGATTTAAAGGAGGGTTCCCTAGGTGATTTTAGCACCTGCATGGGAAGTTTCAAAGAAGTGAAATGTTCACTGTCTCTGTACTTTGAGAATTGTAAATGAAAGCTTTGTGTTCTATTGGCTCTGCAATATTGATTTTATTCATAGACTGCTCGTGCAGCTGTTCCACTCTTCTGAATAATAGTGATGGAGCTATATCAGAATTCATTTAAAATTACTTTTTTTTTAGTCTTATAGATTAAATAGGAAACCTGTGCTTTTTAACTTCCATTGAATTTGTGACTTAATGTGTGTATACTTCTGCCCTCCTGATAGCTTGATTTTCCATGTCTAAACAAGTGACAAAAGTCATTTTCCCCCCCTCCTCTTTTCTCTACATTTCAAAGGGGATGTTAAGACAATCTGTGGATAATATTAAGTCAAAACTAATTTAAATGAAATACGTCAATATCTGCAATTTTTTCATGAACTGAAACTTCTAAAATGGGAACATGTCATTTTGGTCTCTTAAACGTAACAATTTTTTTTTTTACTCCACTTTAGAGAACACTTCCTTTCTGAATGTGGGACTTAGATGTGGAAAATACATGTTTGTCTTTTCAAGACCTAGGTGGTCTTTAGACTGTGTTGGATTATGGAACATAAAAATATTGCTAGACTATTGTGTGGCTTTAAATATATGGGTAAACATACAGATATGCAATTAAGGTAATAAAATAGCAGCCTAATTTTACGGATATCTGAATGAGCTCACATGGTATCTATTTACTTGTCAGCAGTCAAAAACAATAATTTTAACACAAGCCGCTTATTCCATTCTCTTCTGTGCAGTGCTGCTTCTTTGCCAGAGAGATATTTAGACCAACATAGCTTCCATATGTGTTCAGCAACTTGTTTCTACTAGATATTTTACCCATCACTGTTGCTGAACAATAGTAGAAATTTTTTCACTTAGGAAAATATGTAAACATATTGTACTGAAACTTAAATACTTTGTTTTTGGCTTTTTTATTGATGCTTTTTGCATCAATAAAAATATTGGCGGGGGGGGAATGTGACCTCCAAAATGTAAAGTTACCAATATTTGTTTAAATTAAGTAAATTTTACTTAGTTAAATGCTTTTGAATTATTTTTATAGGGTTTAGTTTAGCAGCTTTTAAGAGGAACAAGAGGAAGCTGGAGTTGGCTGAAAAGGTGGAAACAGATCTCATTCAACTAAAGAAAAGAAGACAATCAAATGAAAAGGTTAGTTCCTGTTTAAAATTTTGTTGTGTTGTCCTAAAATGACAGCTGATTGCTAATGAATTTTTGTCATGTACAAGATGAGACTAATGTAGCATCAGAAACCACTTCTTGACCACCCTGATGTTTAGATGATGTAATGATAACTTAGTGCAATTAAAACTTTCTGCCTTGCTATTTGAAACAAAACTGTCACTTTGTATCTTGTTTGTGCTATGAAAAATATTTTGCTCATTTTGAACTGGAAATATGACAAATGTAAACACAAACAGATAATTATTTACTGAAACATTTTCTTTAGCTTGGGATCTCTGTCACTGTTTCCCACTTTTTAATGTTTCCTGAGCGCACTGCATTATGGAGCTGGAATTGGTGAAATTTGAAATATCAGGTAGGTAAACATGTGCATCTGTGCATGCATCTAGCATTGACCTGGCCCATATTACTTGTACTACAAAACTATTAGGATTCCCTCTGTTCCCCTCGCTCTTAGTTTGAATTTAGAGCCTTGTTACCATTTGAGAATGTCAATCACAGTATTTGTGTTTACTGTTGAATTTCAAAGCATAGCTCATTCAATTAAATGCCTATGCTTTAGTTGGGGGTGCAGCATTTCGGATTGGCCGTTTCTCTTTGCTTTCATAAGCTGACTGACTGCTGCCTTATGTAGTGGCTTATGTCGATATAAATAATGTATAAATCCCAGAGAAATGGCAAAAAAGTTTATTCTCTGTAGTCTGTGCAAATGCAAACCAATGATAAATTAGGCATTTTTCTTCTGTGTTCCTAGATAAGAAGTTTTCCCTAGCAGGGTGCTAATTTTTCTATTTTCAAGGAGATAAGACCTGTAAAGAAAGTAAGGATAGAGGGGGGGGGAAAGTTAGTTACTCATTTTGGAACTTTTCCTTCACACACCTCCTTGTGAGATTAATGGTGTTAAAATGTAACTGAGGGAGGAGGGGACTCTGTGCAGTATTGATGTTCATGTAATAAGGGGCAAGTCAATGCTTGAAACATATGCCAATGCATGAGCTTACCGACCTGCAATTTGAAATTTCAAGGGCTCCAGAGTCATGTGCAGCGCTTGTGGGAGACCCCCAAAGACCAATGATGGTAGGTAAAGGAGGTGATCAAATAGAGCTCTACTCTCCGGTAAGTAATCCAGTAATGTAACATACTGGTTTTCTCAACTTTCTGGGCACATCCTGTCCATGGAGGGGGAATGAAAAGTAAACCATGCTAACAACATGGACTGCTTGTGTTATCCACTGTGTGTAAAGTAATTGCAGCCTTACAGGAAGTTTAGTTTTTCAAAATGAAATAGAAATGAAAAATCAAACTCTACAAGAGCAAATTCTAAAAAAAAAAATAGTAGAATAATTCTCTCGAAGCTATTAGAAAAGGGTTATTTAGCAAGGATGAGGTACGTGATCTGTCATCCCAAAACTTGTACTGTCAAAGCTGAGCTTCATGAAAGGTTTCAAAATAATTGTTTAAAAAACATTTAAATACTCGAATAATTAAAAGTTAATCTTCTTGTCAAAGTTAAGCTTTAATTGATAAATACTCATTTATTCTTTTTATTTGCTGTGCTTTTCTGGAATTGCAGACCTGTCTTTTGGTAGCTGTTTTGTTGTCTAGTTTGACTCTCGCATGCTTCAACCCAATGCTGCAGCTTTGCAGTACTGCCAACAGTGGCACATAAGCTCAGTTGTTACAAATTCAGGTCATTTTTTTTGTCTGTGAAATTTTAAAAGCTGGGAGAAGAGCAAGGTAGAAAGGATGTTAACAAAGTTGAAGTTGAATGGAAACCATAACTAAAAGGCCTATGTGAAGAGACAGTATTGCAGACCAAAAAAGGCTGAAATTACCTGGAAGTTTTACCTGCTCATAAATTTAACTAGCTAAAAATCAACATACATTTTTAAAAGTTACCTTCCAACAAAAGTTAAATTACACCAAGCTCAAAAAGAATGAGAGGCTGTTTAAATTTATTAAAGACTATGGAAAAACTGGGCAGTGTAACTTACTAAAGGACTCTTATTTTCTGAGTACATGGAATGTTCTCTTTGCTGTATTTTTCGTTGTTTGGCCAATGCAGGATTTGTAGAGGGTTATGCCATTTCACACAGGAAGATCCGTTAATAACTTCCTCAAATTTTGAAGGTGTGGAAATCGAGACTTTTTTTTTTTAGTTGTAATGGCTTATATATTGATTTACATAGTTAAGAAATCATTTTTGTTTGTGTGTGAATTAACTAAACACATTCGTAGGGGGACTGGCTATGATGTGTTAATTCAGCCAGATGCCATTCTGAAGTTCTCACCTCAAGCACCAGTAAACATCAGAAGTACATGTTTGTCTTCTTACCTGTCTTTTACCAGAGAAAATGGTAATTGAAAATAGCTTAGCAGAGTTTGGCTAAAAGCCCTATTTTTAAATTGTCTTCTGCTACTACAAACTTTTTTTACAACTATGCTGAAGCTACTTGTAAGAGGAGTTGTCCTCTCCTTAATTGGAATAACAGTGGCACTAAGAATTCCCAGTGCACATGAAGTTTTTCATAAGTTAGTGTTTATAGGTTAGTTTTTTACAGGCTAGTTACTTAACTCCATAAATAACATTATTTAATTTGAGGTTTATTAAAACTGATTTGTTTTTTATCTAGTTTAATGCATGTACTTGAGTATGTGCACAACAATTCGAATTATTTGTATGGAATCGGCAGTTTCATATTCTTCATCTACTGTATTGAGACAGTAACGTAATATTGAACATATTTATAAAAGAAAATACATCTGTCTTTGTTACACAGAAATACATTCTTTTCTTTGAAGTATTTTGTGCATTTTTTTTTGCCACTGATCACCTGGAATGTACCAATGTGAACTTTTAGCCAGTTCCAGCTTGAACTCTTTGGGTGAGCAACAGTCAACACGCAGCAATATGCATCATTCCCATTACATATGGTGAATTTTAATCAGTTTTTCTTGAAATCAAATTTTTTATGGCTGTGTGAGGGTAGTTTAAGTGTGGCAGCCAACCATGACAATCCTACTGTCTGTCTTATTTAGTCTTGTAGTTCGAACAGGAATTTGAATTCTGTGCATTTCATTTTCCTTAAAAAAGAAATAAATTCTCTGTCCACATCCATGCTGAAATGGTCTTTGATGATAATACTACTTAGACTTCAGAAGTATACTTCAAAATCCATTCAATATGGGAAAAGAAACTTAAATACTTTTCATCCATTTCAGTTGAGAAAAAAACCCCAAACCAAAACAACAAAACTCATCTGTGGAATACAGTATGAAATAACTTCCTCATTTTGAACGTGGAGATCAGACAAAGTGTTCTGTTTACATACCAAACAACTATTAAATTGGAAAGGGTAGGGGCGTTTATCGAGCTTTGTATTATTAGATCGTAACTGCGCCTTTTCAAACATACGAAAGTTGCACCAATCATGCATGCTCTCAAGATCAGATTGCTATGAGAGTACATCATTCTACACTGTCAGTTGCTGTGGAGGAAAACATTTCTAGAAATTGGTATGTATTAATTGGTCGTAGTACCCACAAAATAGCGATATTTTCCATTGACTTAGATGGATTTATAAGTATTTCTTTAAAACGCATTAATAAGTAAAATTTTGCTTAAAAGACTGCCTCTCACCTTGTTAAATACTGCTGTAATTGGCAGAAATACTCCATCAAGAACAGGTTAAAAGACCAAAATATATTAATTTTTGATCTATTATTTTCTAGATAGTGCTGTCCACTGTTGTGCTCCTCTCTGTTCCCACCTGTTCTGTGAAGGGCCAACATGGGACATACTAGAAGAATTATCTGTTGCCCTGTTCTGAGTAGGAGGATACTGTAAAAGCCCCATATTTTTAGGGGAATCTACTTGATCTTATCATCATCAAATATCAAATCCTATGTATTTGTGTGGATAGTTGGGGAATAACATATAGGTGTTAATTGCTGCAATCTGATTAATTTTACGTTTTGTCAGTTATGATACTTGAAGATGAGATTTAATGGTACTTTTGACGTTGACTTTCAGTTGTTTCCATGTAAAATATGAACTGTATAATAGGTGATTTTTAGGTTGCAATATTACATTTTTAAAAGCCCAAACTGCTTTTGCAATGGACATGTTAGTATACATTATTAGCTGAAGTCAGATATGGAATTTGTTAACAAATATCACCAAGTAATAATCAAGTTTCCTTTGGTACTTGCAAAATTTTGAAATCTAAAGTGCTAAATTAATGAATCAAATATATCAAAAGATAAGGGCAAGCAAGCTGGATCTCATTTAGTCCCTGTTGAACCCATATAGAATTTGCACTTATTTTTGGTTTTTGACAGTATGTTAAATTTGCCCTTTTTTTTTTTTTTTTTTTTTTTTTAAATTTTAGAAGAACTTTAGGAATTGTAGTGTTTAATATCTTTCTACTGATATTCTACTGATACAGATAGAATTAGCTTGACAGGATCCTGTATTTTTCAACATTCATATGGTTTGAAGAGCTGAAACGTGTGACATGGAAAGTCTTCTCACCAGGTGCATAATGCCTTTAAGTATGGAGAGGTACAGGGAGAATGAACTCTTCATTCACTCATTCAGAAATACGGTTGTTGGTACAGTTTACATACGTAGAATATGTTTAGAATTGATTCATGGTGTAACTTGTAAGTATGGGAAGTCAGTGGTGTTGAAATGGGAGAAAACACAAAAATAGGTCTAGAATAGATCCGACAACATATGTGCTCCATTGGATATGGAATAGAACTGGTCCTCACTGGTTTTCAGTTAGTTCAATATGAATGAATATAGCATCAGCAGTGATTTTCTGATCACAAAAAAACCCCAAGCTTACATTACTGAGAAGGAAAATAACATAATTCCTTTCCTTCGGTGATATAGATTTCCTTCAGATGGTTGTGTGGGTCAGGTTAAAAAAAAATGCTTCCCTTAAAAAAGGGAAGTTGCCCCATCTAAAAATAAAATAAGCCAAAGCAAGCAAAGTATAGCACTGAATTGACAGCAAATACTGATATCAAATAGGTCATCTTTTAAAGGAAATAACGGTGAAGAAAGCTTCCATGCAACATATATTGGTAAATACTTGTGGTTTTTTGATTAAAGTCTTTTAAAAAAAGAATTTAGTTATATAGCTACTGAAGGTGAATATTTTATGTGTGTGAGAGCTAAAGCGGAAGATGGATGGCAGATTGAGCAAATAGTTTTACAGATGCTGCAAAGAAGGCTGCAAGCATTTCTTCTTTCCTGTCAGATGATATGAAAAACATACTGATCCATACTGAGCCTCACCCTTCTAAAATGTATTTCTGTTCATTATGGGAACCCCAAGTGTTCGATTTAACATGAATTAAGATTACACAGGTGTCCTTAATTCTGGCATTTCCTAACTTTGACAGGCTTGATTTTCATATCTGTAGTTGTCTATTAATCAAGTTTTTTATTGTGGGTATAGTTTCCTTTGATAGCAGGGACCAGGGGATGGACAACAAAACCTGCATCATATTAGTAGTTCTTCTCCATATAGAAATCATAGGATCACAGGGAAATTCATGTTGGGAAGAGCTTTATCCAGTCTGATCATTCCAAGGATGGGACTCAGTACCTCCAGTGAGCAGCCTGCTCTGCTGCTTAAGATCTTTTCAGTCCACTGAATAGTGTCATTCTGTGTGATGGGTTTGTTCTAACTGGGTTAATAATACCTGAATTAGGCTGTTGCTGGCAGTTCTGGGAGGGGTGAAATAACATTTGCCCGTGAGATGTTAAGGAGGGGTTCCTTAATTTTCTTTTATCTTTACAACCCAGAAGGGAACTTGCTCTTTTCTTATACCCTTTGCTCAAAATTCCTTTTGCCTCTCTTTCTCCTACCTTTCCTGATCCCCATTTTTACCTTACTCTGCTTTTCAACATGCTCTTCTTCCCAATGCCAGTTGAGACCCTAAATAGTTTTTCACCTCTCTTTTTCTAAGCAGTTATTCTGCTTTACTGTTAGGACATCTGTCTGCTTGTTTTAATATTGAATATGGTTAGTGCCAGCTTCTGAGTGTAGAATTTGTTCAGGAAGATCTAGGTGTAGGTAAAGAGAAGAAACTTACTGTTACTCTGGCTAAACGCCAAGGATGACGACACTCCTGCTTAGGAGTTCCAGTTGCTTGAAAAATACTGTAGAACACTGTAGTGCTGCTTAAGACTGGTGCAGTATTAACTCAAGTGTTATCTCTTAATTTAAGTGTGGCCAGAGTATCACCTGCATGAGTCTCCTACAAATTCTGCTTGACTAGTGACGTTGTATGCCCAAGGAAATTTTAATAGATGATGGGAACTTGATAATTTGAAGTTGAATAGTTGGGTGTAGATTTTCTTTTTTCTTCCTCCCTCTGGATTCTAGTCCAGAAAATATACATTTATATGAATAGCTTAATATCCTTAGGGATTATTTGCCAGGGTACATTTATATAGGATTTTTTAAATGCAGGCAAGTTTTTATACAGGAAAAACAGAGGAGCTAAAGGCAGCATTTATCTTTGATGTATGTGAGGGATGATGTATCGGTTGTGTTTATTCATTTTATTTTATGTACATTGCATGCTGTGTCCCATCAAAAGTGTGTGGTTGGGCATGAAATCAGACTGCCCTGACCTGGGTTCTGCAGAGAAGGGAATCTAGGGCAAGCCTAGGCAGAGTGGGGAAAACTGTTTTTTTCTCTTAGGGAGTGACTGAACATGGTGTATTAAGGAAGATGGGAAGGACAGAAAGATCCAAGGTGAGACAGCTGAAGTGTTTGTGAGTCAGTAGGCAGAGAGCTTGCATCAGGAATAAATGCTGAAAGACTCCTGCTCCTAGGGGAAAAAATCTGCCTCAAAAGCAATGGAAGTAAGGACGCTTTTCTAGTGACCCAGAGGGAGCGAAGGGTAATTTGTTTCAACCAGGAATCCACTAAAGATTGCTGAACTGAGAACAAGTCTGGGAGGAAGAATCTGTCCTGGGGGAGGGTTCTTCTCACGGCTTCTGTTTATTTTCTTGCTCAGAATATCAGACTTTTCTCTTTAAATGGTAAGCTGCTGCTTGTGAATTTTTTATTTTTTTTATTTTTTTTTAAGCACACATAGCTTTAAAGATCAGAGTCTCTGAAAATGCCATCTCAAAGCTTTTGGGAAAGACCTTTTGATATGGCATCTTTGGAAAGTGTCACTGAATCATTTCTTAGTGGACAAGTGCCCACCACTAAGAAAACAGAATTTTTGGCGCTTCTGTGAGTAAAGGCAGGTAATCTAAGCGTTGGATGAATTCTGAGATGTTTTTTACCTTCTTGTTTCCAGAGAAGTTTTCTTCAGGTCCTGTCTGAGGCAAGAGAGCATTTTGTGAAGATTTATGGCAGCACAGTCGGTACAATATGCATGATAACAAATCTGTTTTGTTGATCGGCCTGTCACTTGGTTTTGTGCACGTTAGTTTGCACACTCCTAAGAAGTATAATCAGACTTTAACATACTATTTTTAGTAGTTGTTTCTGTTTGTGTGTCCTGCAGGAGAATGACTCAGGAACATTGGATACAGTTGGTGCAGTTGTTGTTGACCAAGAAGGAAATGTTGCTGCTGCTGTCTCCAGCGGAGGTTTAGCACTAAAGCATCCTGGAAGAGTTGGTCAGGTGATTATACGTTTTCAGTTGGGAATGATTGTTCAGCAATTGTGACACTAAGCAAGAGCTGTGATAGCAAACTGATGTCCTCCCTTCCTTCCCATTAAACTGAAGGCATTTTCACTGCATTGGAATGCAAGTTTTGTTCTTAGTGCCCTCCATTAGTGTTATAAAACACTGATAGGTAAGAAGTTGTTCTGTAGCTACCTTTTCCCAGAGCTATTGATAATTTAATTTCTTGGGCTTAAATACCTCCTTAATGCCACAAATAGTCTGTTAAATTCTTAGAGTGTTTTTAGAAAAGATTTTCATCAATATTTGGGGAAGCTGTCCTAATTAATTTGTAAATGATCTCGTGAGTTGGTAGAAGCGACAAAGGTATTAAAAGAACACATTAGCTACAGGCATTCCTTATTGGTTTTAGGTGAGAGAATTTTGAGGTGCAACAGAAATGTTGTCCTCCATTGCTGTACAGCTGTATTTTTGGTTGACTTTTCCCACTGTCCTAAAAGCAGTTCTCTTCTGAAATGTATTTAAGATTTTTCTTCTGGAATAGTAGAGTGAAGGGGACTTTAGATAAATAGGGAGCAGCTGGAATTATTTTGTCTTTTGACATCTATACTACTGTCATTTTCTGTAAAGTTAGGTTAGAACACCGTACATCTATGACAGTCACTCAGTTCTGAAGAATAGTAAAAGAAGACCTAGCAAAATGGATTGGAATTGCAGTTTTGATTGTTATGATTTTCTTATTTATCTTTTATTTTTATATTATGATTTTTCTTGGGTTTGTTTATTTAGTTGGTTTGGGATTTTTGGTGGTGGTTCTTTTTTTTTTTTTTTTTTTTTTTTTTTAAGGGAACGGAACAAACCAAAAAACCTGGTATACTTAAATTTATGAAAGATGCACTTCTTTCTTTAGGCAGCTCTTTATGGTTGTTGCTGCTGGGCTGAAAATACAGGAGCTCATACCCCTTACTCCACTGCTGTGAGTACTTCAGGTATTTGCTACTTTTATAAATATTTCAAAAAGTTACAATCTTTCTCTGTAATTAATTTACAAATTTCAAATAAAGTATTTCTGTGAGTGGTGAATTAAAATATTAACATTACTTCCGACTATGTGCTATATGTGTATCATTTATTTACATATAAAACATATATATGTCAGTATCATCTTGAAATCTGTGAATTAATCTGCATTGGTTGCTTACATTGGTCATTTTACTTAAAACAACCCCAAACAAAGAAAAAAACCCAAACAAAAACGTGAGCAAAAAAAAAATTTGAAATTTTATCCTGTTCAGAAGATTTTGTATTACACGGAAGGCTCTACTCTATTTGTTATGAATTAAGGGACTTGTCCTCTGTAAAGAAGTGCTGTTACAAGCCTAATATTGTGTTAAATATTGTGTATGCTTCTGTGACTGGAAGCTTCCTGTAAAGGACTAAGATAATGAGAGCGTCCTTTAACATAAGAGGGTCCCTTCAATACAAAAATGCTACAAAATCTCATTTTTCCTTCCAAAAATATTTAAGTACTATTTTAAGTGAATATTTAAGTGAATGTGTTCTTTATCTCTATTTTTGTCTTAAAAGGAATGTGAAAAGGCAAAGCCAAATGACTGGAATAAATGTTTTGGAAAATTTTTATTCAGAAATTGTGAAAGTAACATAAGAATTAGGATAGAGTCTCTTCTCTTCTTTGGAAGTCTTGGGATCCGGGATACATAAAAGTATTTTGTTCATTCGATGCCTGTCAGCCAGCTGTCACACAGAGCTTTTCTGTGAGTTGACATTTTGATCACTGGAGATACCGATGGTAAAAACAAGTTTGTCAACAGATCTGCTAAATGTAACAAGACTGAAGAAATAGTAAAAATTAGAAAAAAAACCCACCAACCAAACCCACAAAACCCAACCAAACCAAAGTGGGAAGATAGCTCACACTGTAATGTAAGATTTGAGAATGTAAGCCAGGCTGTTTTTAATTTGTCAGGAACAGACACTGGAAAGGTAACTGTATTGTTACACACTACTGGGTGAATATTGTAGAACACAAAAGCCTTAAGATGAAGTTATGTGGGAGTTGCTTTTACTTTGCAACTCACACATGAAAGCAGTTGAAGAACTGCATTTCATCTCACTTTTTTTCCTAGTTGTATGAACAGTCTCAAAAAGAAAAATTACTTGTAACATTTTTCATAAATGCTTATGTCAGGATGCAAAATTTGTGATCTGGACCACTGGTTAATGGTCAGAGTTACTGGTGTTCAGTATAGGGAGAGCCCAAGAAAATCAGCAGAGTTCAGATTTAGGCAATGTAAACTATATCCCAAGAGTACTGCAGGATTAGAGTCCAGTTACAGAAACAGTGGGGGGAGCAAGGTAACAAAGTGTAGAATTAAAATTTGACAGAGGCTGAAGAGCATCAGAAATATCCTGTGTTGCTTTTGAAGTCATATACCTTTCTAATTTCCCCTGTATTTAAGTCTGTCTTGTGCTGTTGCAAATTTGTGTAGACGTTCACCCTTAAGTTCGGTGTTGGTAACAGCAAGTGTCCTTTTTAGTACTTACATAAAGGAAAGTCCTACTAAATGCAGAAGTGTCAGAAGATACGGTGTTGCTACTCAGGGAACACCATATTGATTTTAGTTTTATAAATGTTTACCCGTGTAAGCAAATATATTTAAATATTGCAGTATTGGGGACCATAAGGATTAATGAGTATAAGCCCAATATTAGAGATTATTTGTGGAAAAGCTGAGAAGGACACCTTTATTTAAACTTCTTTACAAAGTCAGCTGGACTTGGAAGTCTATGCAAGTACAGGCAAGCATCCTGATATACTTAAATGACATGTCTGGGTGTAATGATGGCCTTAAATAGAAGTTTCCTTTCTTTTTGCTGGTACCAATTTTATATAGTGGTAAATACTTTAGTGTTATGCTATTTATAACTATCACACACACACACACATATATATTTATTTGGTTCAAATCTTTTAGCTTCCATGACATTACATTAATACCAATCTCTGTTAATTGAAATAGACTGCTGGCAGTCTATGAAGCATGGCCATCTGTGTATTCAGCGATTTGAAATTCAGACTAGTGGTGTTTAATTAAACTCTTGTTTCTGGCTTTCCTTTAAAGTGTGTGTGTGTGTATGTGTGTGTGAGAGAGAGGGAGATAGAAATGTTTACAGGAAGTGAGAATTCTTCTGTAATCAATACCATTCTTTTTTCCATTTTCAGAAGCTCATAATGTTTTATTTTATAATGTAATTTATGTTTAGTGCAGTTTTGAAATATATTGATGCCTGACTCTTGTTTAAAATATGAGCATCCAACAATGTGAACCATGAAGTTAATTAAGGGGTAGAAGGATGGAAAAATTAAATTATAGGAGAGCTTGAAAGAATGAAACTTACAACTTGGCTGGATCACAACAGGAGATGGGAATGGGGGCATAAACATCTGCAAATATTCAAAAGGTGAAATTGCCAAGGCTGAGCAAGAAAATCATATGTTAACATACATCATTGTTGGGTGGAATTTTTATAAAATAAAGGTACTGTCTAAACTCTAGGAGATGCCTTGATTTGGAAAGCTCTGAGATTGACAGTGCTTCTTAAGAGAAGATAAGTATTGTTACTTCGTGTACCTAAAATCAGACTGGACAGTATTTGTAATAGTGATTATACCCTGCTCTTGTAGGTTTCTAAATTGGTTTTGCTTGGACGTATATATAAAAAAAACCAGCAATAAATGAAACTTGCATGTTATGTAGAAAAAAAATTGTGTCTGCACGCCCCTTCATTTCATATTTCATTTTAGGTAGACTTATACACTTGCATGTAAAAGCATTTAAAATATGTACATAAAATAACTTACAATCAGTTTAGATTTCTGTGGTTTTCACAATATAACATTTTATTGTTTTAATTTCACATGTCTTTTCATTTTAATTTGTCTTTAAGTGGTAAATTTAGCACAAATTTATCCTAACGTTGCCTACAGGGAATCTTTTTTCTGTTGTATGGCGGGACAAAAAAAAAAAAAGAGAAAATTAGGCTTTGGTTGCTGTGTGTGTTGAGTACTGTATGTGTAGACTTTTAATATTTATTGTTAAATTACTTCGCAGAGGAGCTGACTCATCAAATCACATTTATAATTTAAAAAAAAATCTTGATTGAAAATTTTAACTATGATTCCCTCAAGGCTTTATCAAAATTATGCTCTAAATCATTAAGTACTAATATATGTTAAACCAAATAATTTTAACTTAAGGGTTTTTTTGGAAATTAAAAGGTTTCACATTTGTGCTAGTTTAGACTTTTAAACTTTTTTTAGTGATAACTTGCGACAGAAATTCAGGCCTTGAGAGTTCATCATATCAGGGTCCATATTCAGTCTTGAAAAAGGATGTTCTTTGTCATTAGTTTCTTAAAGCAATTTTTAAGGGCCAGGTTTTGTAAACTATTTTAATTCCATACTTATGAAATTGCTCATGTCTTTGCGTTTTCAAGGCAATGATAAGCAAGAGATTGAACAGGTTAGAGGAAAAACTCTGGTGTGGGGAAAGCAGAGTTTGGAACAGTAATTGAAAGTATACAGAATACAAACTCTTGCGCCTTGAAATCGATGCGGTATTGGCAGGAATGTAAGGATGGACACATTGGGTCAAACGAGAGCTCCAGACAGTTTGGTGTCCTGTTTTAGATAGAGTGTGTTTGTAGGTCTCCAGGGAAAAATGCAGGACTGGGAAAAGCACCTCCATTGTGTTATCCAACCTTCTAGCAATGTGTGACTTTGTAAGCTGGGACTTATATTTGGGACTCTACAAGCTGGATGTATCTTTGGTTTTAATAGGTCAGGATGACTTTCTCAAGATTTCTCATTTCTTTTTGTACTTAGAAGCCCAGTTATTTAAATTTTGCTCGGAATGTTTTTCTTATTCTGTTATGGTTCACCTTTGTATGAGCTTTCTTGGAAAAAGAAAAGTGTTAGTTTTAATGCCACAGTAGCGCAGTAGGTTTTATGCTTGAATTTTTGTTAACTTTGTTCTAACACCCTTCTATTGAAGCTTCAGTTTGAGACATATGTTTCAATACCTTCCTCATAAAAAAAAAAAAAAAGAAAAAAAAAAAGACATTGCCATGAAAGTACTTCATTAGAAGTATTTCCAAATTCATATAGCTTTCTTTCAATGGTCCTGTATTATTTGAAGACATGCTTTTACATCTCGATCATCTGTTGGCTCTGTGGATGCTGGCAGGCTTCCTGCTTTTGCGTGTTCAAGGAGAATTTGGTATTAGTTCCTATGCCTTTAGCAAGTTGTTTCTCAAATATTTTTGGCCATTTTTATTGTGATTTTATATTGAGCGTGCCAAAGGTGGTGGTTCTGAACTTGTCTGGGCATGACTTCAACTTTTTGAATGGTATTTTCTTACCTCTAACAGTCTCTTGGCCTTGTTGTTTAGCCGCACTGTCTTTGGTTTTATTTTTTTTGGCTTTTCAAAAGTTGCTTCATGGTTTATAAAATAAAGGATATTGTAAAACTCATATTTTATGGATAAAGTTTAACAGGGGGTGGGAAAATTGAAATCAAAAGATGAAGACTCTCTAAATACAGGATGGGGGAGATGGTGAAAGTTAGGAATGACTGTGGATATAAAAGGCCTTAAATTCAAGGTTTATTCTGTAACTCTCAGTCTAAAATTCAGTTTCTTTGTAAACAAGTAAAATATTTTGGAATTTTTAATTGATTTTTTTGGAGACATTTCAACATATGAACTCCTGAATTATACTAAAATTAATATTTTTTTTTGAAAAAAAATACAGTTGTGGGACTTCGTTGGCAACTGAAGGATAAACATTACAGGAATTCTGTAGGTATCTCAAAACCAGTATTAAAATTCAAGAAATTCAGAGAATGTTGCAGGTGCAGGCATAGCTAAGATACCTGGGAAACCTTAACCGTGACATCTAACAACATAA